TTCTCCTTTTAGTCAAGATGATTTTGTATCTGCCACAAAGTCACATTTTGTGTTCTCCAAACAGGAATGGTTTGAAATGTAATCATTAAAAACAAGACAAAGCAAATAACATTCTTTCAGCCAAGTCTGTAGTTAGCAGAGATTATTTATTTATTTGCTTGTCAATGTTGCGATCCACCTGCATCTTTGAAGAATAATCATGTTAGTCCTTTTGGTTTATAACAATAAGCTAAAGATGATTGAATCCCATTCTGGGTTGCTTTCTGCTGTACTAAATTTTAATAAGACTACATTTATTTTCAAGTGATTCTTGTTATAACCTAAAAAGCTTATGGTTTCCACGGTTGGTCTTCTAATGAGGGTGGAGAGTCATATAAATTTAATTTGATAGCTGCACCAGGAGACTTATTAGTTCTGCTCCAAGGAAATGCCTTACTGTATTAGTCTGTCAACTCTGCTGATGCTTGTGAAACATCGCTTAAAAAGATCTACTACCTGTGTGCTAAATAGAACTTTGAGTCGGCTCTGCTTTGTACATGTTGTGCAGACATGGTCCCTATAGAGTCTAATTAAGCTGCATTGGACCGTGAATGCCCATGGTCTCATAGGGTTGTGATCCAGTTCAGAAATCCTATACAGAGAACAAGACCCAGCAGATAGAACCAAATACAGTGAAGGCAACATGCTAAACATGTGCATTCCATGTCACTTGCTTAGAAAGAGGTTGTGCAGTTACATAATACTTCCAGATCACGTAGTCAATAATGCATATGTCTTGATAGCCACAATAAGCACCTCTTCTTATCACCTATTGTTATTTTAATGAGAACGTTATAACAACGTGTACTTTCACTCATAGGCAGCTGCCTCAGAGCTCATGTATTGCATCTCTCCTGAGTAGTGTTGCACTATTTCCCTGTTCAGTTTTCTTTTGAAATTATTACCGTGAAGTTTGTGATAGTTCCCAAATGCAGCAGAACCAGTGACAGTAGCAGTAGGAGGTAAAGGAGAAGTATCGATCTGGACGTGGAACAAAAGGTTATTAAGCAACACGGAGGTGGGGAATCAGCCAGTGCTATTGCTCCCAATTGAGGCATGTCTGTTTGCTAAGTATGTAACATGGTATCCATACTACATCCAAATCACACAATGCCTTATTTCACAGAGTGTATTGTAGACATTAATGGGCGCATACTTATTTGTCAAAGTTCTTGGAATCTTAGCCACAAAATTATCACTTGTTTCTTCTTTGTTCTACTAAGAAATCAAACCATAATTATTCCTTTAGAATACAATAAAACATTTATGGTTCCTAGCTTAGTTAAATTGAATTTTATGGAAAAAAAATAATAAGGAAGATTCAGGCCACCATTTTATGGACATTGTAGGAGTAAAAACATGTCCAAAATAAGATAATTTATTTTATGACCTTAGCGTAGTCGAATATTGATTGGAGACTATAAAAATATCATTTTCAGGAGATACCTATTTTGGTCATTTACAAGATATTAGAAAAACTTAAAAGCATAAAATTGACTACACTTGTTAGAAATTCAGCTAACTTCCCCTTCCAATACTATGGTCTGTCACTTTTCTATGCTTAAAAGATTGTGTTTAGTTCTCTTCAATGACTTTGTGAAAGTAAGAAGGTTTCTTTTTGTACAGTTGTTATTGTTGTTGTTAGGTGTCTTCGAGTCTTAGATGACTCAGAGTGACCCTATAAACAAAAGACCTGAGCACTGTTCATAGAGTTTCTGGAGGAAAGCCATTTAGGAAGTGGATGCTACTCCTGCTTCCAAGTTTGTTGTAATCGGGGAGCTCCACTAAACAGTGTTCACCATGGGTAGCCATTACCGCATTTAACTCATCAGTGTTACAGTGTTCATCTTCACAGCAACCACGAGTTACCTCTCTGTGGCAAGTGGCCAGACCAGTGCTATACCACCTAGAAGAATGTTTGACAGAAAACAAGCTTAAACAATTAACAATTCAAACAAGCTTTGTACAGTACACGTAGGTAAAAACTCTGGATATTTTTTGCTGTCTCAAAGTAGTGCCAGGGAAAGTCTATTTTTTATCTGGTGTCCAGAAATTTGTCTAACAAATATGACTGAATATGTGTTTTTTATACTTAGATATGTCTTAGTGGAGAAATCACTTTTTAAATGCTTGATGATTTGTAATTACAGGTTTAGAAGATTAGAATATTTTCTAGGATACAGTTTGAAATTTTAAAGATGTATTTACTACATTTCATTAAGAAACAAAAAGAGATCAGGGAATACAATTTTAGCAATTATGTTGTACTTAAATATTTGGTGTCTGCGAATCTATTTATAACTAGAAACATTACAGATACTGAATTCAGCAGAGATATTTGAGTGGCTCCTGTGTGCCAGAGGTCTAGGGGGTTGTGTAGCCGACTGATTGGTGGTTTGCACCCACCCAGAGTTGCCATCCTGACAGTAGTCAGGAGGTCAGGAGATGTATTGCCTTGGGAAGTATTCAATTAATGATCTCTAAATATTGCTGAGCAGTGATGTCAGTTGGGGACTAAGGTATGCCTGATTCACACCATGATCTTTTCAATTACTTACTATGCATCTGACAGCTAGATAATAAAGATAAATAATAAAAATAAAAATCATAATAAAGAAGGGTGGCAGAGGAAGAATTGATGCCTTTGATCTGTGATGCTGGAAAAGAGTACCAAATATTCATTCCATGGACTGCCAAAAGGACAAACAGATGTGTCTTGAAAAAAAAATACAGCCAGAGTGTTCCTTGGAAGCAAAGATGGTGAAGCTTCATCTCTCATACTTTGGATATGTTGCTAGGAGAAGCTGTTCTTTGGAGAAGGAGATCATGCTTGGAAAGGTGGAGTTTTGGCAAAAGAGAGGAAGACGCTCAACCAGATGGATTGACATAGTGATACCAGCAATGAGCTCAAGTGTGTCAGAGATTGTGAGGAAGTCACAGGACAGGATGGGGTTCAGATCTGTTGTCCACAGGGTCGCCATGGGTTATATTTGACTAAACAATACCTAACAAAGGTGCCATGGAAGAAACATCTAATGACCTGTGATCATAAAGGTTGCAGTCAAGAAAACCCTAAGAAGTTCTGTATTTTAATACATGACATTGCAGTGACTCACAATTTATTCAATGACAATGGATTCGTTCTGTTGTCCCCTGTGCCAAACACATATTAGACATTTATGATATAAAATGACCCCTTTACTGATGAACCACACTGTTTAAATGGGTTGTTGTTGTTATGTGCCGTCGAGTCACTTGCAACTCATAGTGACCCTATGTACAACAGCCCTGAAACCTGCTATATCCTGTGTCAATTTTATTGTCTGTGACACAACTAGCCTTATTACCTCAGTAACTGTATCAGTCCATCTCATCGATGGTCTCCCTCTCCTTCTTCTCTCTCTAACCTTGCAAGCATGATGTCCCTCTCCAAGGACCCATCCCTCCTTGCAACATGTCCAAAGTATGTCAGATGAAACTTCAGAATCCTTGTCTCTAAGAAGCAGGCTGGTTTTACCCTCTCTAGGATGACCTTGTTTGTTTTCCTGGTAGTACATGTTGTATTAAAAAGTCTTCTCCAGCACCACAGCTCAAAGGCATCAATTCTCTTTCTATCTTCCCTAGTCATTGTCCAGTTCTCTGATGTAGGGCAAGCAATTGCAAATACTATGGCCCAGATCAGGCACACCTTCGTCTCCATATTGACATTGATTGATATAAAGACATGTAAGATGCTAGAGAATGTAATGAGGGCATACCGCATGGTTTAAAATTAGGAAATATGTGCATCAGGGTTGTATCCTTTCTTCACACCTATTTGATCTGTACGCTGAACAAATTATTAAGTAAGTTGCACTTTTTTGAAGAGGAATGTAGCATCAGGATTGGAGGGAGATTCGTCAATAACTTTTGTTATGCAGATGACACAACCTTGTTTGCTGAAAGTGAGAAGGACTTGATGTTTTTGCCACAGATGGGTTAAACACTGCAGCCTTCAATATGGAATGTGTCTCAACATCAAGAACATAAATTCTTGCCACTAGATCTATAGGCAACATCATGATGTACAGAGAAATGACTGAGACCGTGAACAACTTTATCTTACTTGATGCCAGCAATCAGAAGATCAGGAGATATATTGCACTAGGAAAGTCTGCAGTCAGGCACTTTTCTGTATTATTGAGGAGTGATGATATGCATTTGGGGACAAAGGTGTCCTGATTCAGGCCATGGTCTTTTCAATCACTTATTATGCATTTGAGAGCTGGACAATGACTAAGGATGGCAGAGGAATTGATGCCTCTGATCTGTGGTATTGAAGAGTGCTGAAGATCCCAGAGATTGCCAAAAGAACAAACATATGTATCTTAGAGAAGGTAAAGCCAGAGTGCTGCTTGGAGGCAGAGATGTTAAAGGTTGATCTCACGTACTTTGAGCATGTTCCTAGGATAGGCTATTCCTTGGAGAGGGGCATCATGTTTACAAAGGAGGACGAGCATCAGAAAAGAGGAATACCCTCAACCAGCTGGTTTGGCTTGGTGACTACCAATGGGCAATGGGCTTGAGTGTGTCAGAGA